ACATTCAATTAAGCACTGCTCTCCTCACCCCAAGAAATTACTCCTTGTTGCGTTTCAATAGACAGAATAATAACTGTGAGCACCTGAAAGGATATTAGAACATCCTCTCTTTTCCAGCCATGGGTCTGTCTGTGGGAGGTCAGGTTTCTTCATATACTTTTAACCAAAACAACATACTGAAGTAGTTTGAATGCAGAAGCAGATGTGAAAACCTACCAAACTTCTATTAAGCAAACATTAAAGAAATTTGCAAATAATTAAGTGTTACTCTTCTCAATAATTTGTTTTGAAAAAGTCATTTTCATAAAAATACATTACTTACATTAATTTGTAATAGGTTACTTTAAATGAATATATATTTTTAAGTTCCTTAGTGTTAACTTCTACTGCAGTATCAATAAATATAACCCATATAAACAAGTTCTCCATTTTTTTTCTTTACCCACAGATATGTTTTTATTAATTTTTAGAGAGAGAAGTGGGGGAAGAGGAGTGAAAAAGAGAGAGACACAGAGAGAAACATTGATTGGTTGCCTCCCCTACACACCTCAACCATTGATTGAATCCACAATCAACGGAGCCACCTGGCCAGGGTGAGAGCCCTCAATTTAAACTATTTAAAGAAATTCTGAGTAGCCCTAGCCAGTTTGGCTCAATGGTTAGAGTGTTGGCCCACAGACTGAAAGCTCTTGGATTCAATTCCAGTTAAGGGCATGTACTTCAGTCAGAGCGGTGTGGGAGGCAACCAATCAATGTGTCTCTCTCACATCAATGTTTCTCTCTCTCTCCTTATCCTTTCCACTCTCTCTAAAACTTAATGGAAAAATTATCCTCAGGTGAGGATTGACAACAACAACAAAAGTTTGGGATCTGTTGTTAATCAATGGAGCTGCACAAGACCATTGACATTTAGTTTTAATGGTTATGCAGCAATAAAATTGTGAGGCGGAAAGCCAGGATAAAAAATTGTGACCCAAAGTATGTTGAGAAAACATACATATAAATATGGAGAATATACAAAGATAACAATAGTATTCAGGATATTATGACTGGGATTTTTTCTCCAAACTTTCTCTAAAGCTAACGTATTCTTCACACACTAAAAAAATTGTTGCGACTAAAATGTATAACTATTACCCTAGATCAGTGTTTCCCAAAGTGTGGTACGCATACCCCCAGGGATATGGGAAGAGTTTGGTGGGGGTACGCATTGCACCGGAGTTTGGTGGGGATATGCACTGCACCGTGCTTAGCTGCACTTAATTCTACGTTCTCATGAGTTTGAGGGGTACTCAGCATTACGAAAATTATAGAAGAGGTACACATATGTCAAAAGTTTGGGAAACACTTCCCTAGGTCAGTGGTCGGCAAACTGAGACTCTTGAGCCAAATACGGCTCTTTAGCCCTGAGTGTTCTAACGCCTCTTCTTCAAAATAGACTCGCCCAGGCCGAAAACCAATTTCTGCACATGGGCCACGAAGTTTCAATCGCACTGCGTGTGGGCCCGCACATGGTATTTTGTGGAAGAGCCACACTCAAGGAGCCAAAGAGCCGCATGTGCATCGCGAACCTCGGTTTGCCAACCATTGCCCTAGATGGTTTGGCTCACCGGACAGAGTGTCAGCAAACAGAATGAAAGGTCCTGGGTTTGATTCCCATCAGGGCCACATACCTTGGTTGCAGGCTCAATCCCCAACCCTGGTCAGGGTGCACCCTGGTCAGGGTATGTGCAGGAGGCAACCAATCAATGTCTCTCTCTCACATCAATGTTTCTCTCTCTCTCTCTCTCCCCCTCCCTTCCACTAAAAGTCAATGGAAAAAAATCTCCCTTCCACTAAAAGTCAATGGAAAAAATCTCCTTTATTTTACAAAAATGTAAAATAAAGAGACCACAGAGGAAACCAATAGCCAGAAACAATGGGATTTGCCAGCACAACCGGAAAGGGTTAGACCTGGAAGTCCTGGGAACCAAAGGTGATGTGGGAGCTGATGAGCAATTCCAAGGTGAAAAGTCTATATACAGAATGGTTGCTGCTCCCCAAACCAATCATTACCTACGGTTCCTAAGCGGCTCGCACTGCACTCTGTGAAAAGAGAACAAGGCTCTGGACTCAGGTCCCAGCAGCGAGCAGTGAGGAGATGAAAAAGGCGGAATGAAGTGTTGCGCAGCCACTTACGGGTGGGACCACCGGCTCCTTCCAAGCAGAAAATACATAGGATCCTTCCTCCCTTCCTTTCTTCTTTCCGAAGAAATACAGGGCCTTTATTATAATCAGTATTATTCTTGAAATTTATAATTGCTAAGCTCATTCAGGAAAGTATTTTTGCTTTCAGTGACCCAGAACTCACACACACGTGACAGATGCAGCTGAAGTACACGAAGAGTCTTATCTATGGAAACTGAATGTTCCCAGAGAGGAGAGCCAAAGGCTCGATAAGGAGCCTGGGGTCCTCCAATGAAGCACTGAACTCCCCACAGGAAGGCTTTGGGGGCAAACACAAACCTACAGGGCGAATGCAGACAGACAACCAGAGATTAACAGATTACAAAGAAAGTGTCTGTATGTAAGAGAGACACCAAGAAAGGCGACCAGAAAAAAGAAGCAATGCAGGGAGTAAAATCTACAGGGGTGGGGGGGTGGCGCGGGGGGGGGGGGGGAATAAGGGAAGAGGAAGGGGAGAGTGGGTGGGGAGGGGGAGAATATGAGAATAAATCTGTCACAACACTTAGAACTGGATGCTATGAAGACAAATAATCAGAGAACAAGAAAGCTGGGATAAGAGGGAAGCATGGATGTGATCATGTAAGACTAGATGATAAAATTAAAGACATCTCCTAGAAAGTAAAATAAAAACACAGAATGGGAAACAGATCAAATAACAAGAAAAATCAAGAGTTCCAATCTCTTGTTAATTATAATTCCAAAATGAAGGTTTTTAAATGAGACAATTCTCCAGAAGTGAAGAACAAGAATCTCTATGTTGGAAGGGTCCTATGAGCACCAACAACAATGAATGAAGACTAACTCCTTGGCACCTCCCTGTGAAATTCCTGAACATCAAGCATAAATGAGGAGTCTAAAAAGCTTCTGGAAACAAACAAAAAGTCACATAAGTTAGCCACTTATATTGCTATACTCCAGTCTTTAGAACTACCAATATCTGAAAACCCTTTGTGATCTGAATTTTTAGTTTTTCACTCTCTAATCACCGTCTCCCTTTCCCACTTACTTGCTCTAGGATGCTGAAATCACCAGGAGCTATAATCCATTTGATACCTTTGTAATTAGCTAGTTATTAATAATAATAGGAAAGGAGCAGGGGGGGCAGAATTATAAGCAGGGCCATTTGGGGTAGCTTCACCAGGAAGCTGCAATGTCACACTCCCCAGGGAACCCTGGGTCACTTTCTACAGATCACTAGGGGGATGGACCGGACAAAAGGAAAATGGACGCATGTGCAGTAGAGTCAGGGTGACGCGGGGAAGGTGTCTGTCAGTCAAGCCTGGGAGCAGAGATCATTGGCTAGAGTGGCAGGGCCAATGGAGATCTGTGAAAATTTGGGGATATATAATCCCAAAATAAAAGAAATTCTTGCTCTTCTTGGCTCTTGGTTCTCTCTGTTTCGTGTGGCTTTGCTCCTGCTTCCTTGCATTCGCCCATGTACCCTCCATAGCCATGTGGCCCTGAGGATGGACCCTGCACGCAATGAGCTGATGAACCACAGTAGGGAACACAAACCAAGCTAGCGTGAAGATGCACTGGACCGTGTCCCAATATCGAATGAAAACTGGGCAACGGCTTTAATCTTAGCTCCGCTGAAGTCACAGCTACACTTCTTCCAGGTGGGACTGAGGGAAATGGGACCTTGGAAACTCGGGGGTGCAATTCCACAGAAACAAAGCTTTCCACCAATTATCTCATTCTCTGGTGTGAATCTCAGAAAATTCCTTCTCCTATGATTTTGCAAGAAACCCACTCCCACCAGCAACTGGTGGAGTTAAGAAGAGCTCCCCGTAACACACTGATCTCACCACCTTCCTACAGACAAAAACATAACCAGTGTTAGCAAGAGTTTAGAAAAAGAAACACCCTTATTCATTTTGGTAAGTTATTAAAATAATACGACATTTTCTCAAAACCAAATGCCTACTACAATGCTAAACATTAATCCCCTTTGACCCAGGATTTCCACTCCTAGGAATTTATCCCACAAAAACACTCTTAACATGGGTGCAGAGTATTACCTATAATAATAAAAGCATAATATGCTAACTAGACGGGACAGCTGAACGACCTTCCGGACGTCATTCTGGGCGTCCTTCCAGATGAAGCCGCCACTGCGGTGGCAAAGGCAGAAACGGTTATGGGTGATGAGGCAGGCAGGCAGAGTGGTTAGGGGTGATGAGGCAGGCAGAGGGGTTAGGGGTGATCAGGCAGGCAGGCAGGTTGCTTATAGGCAATCAGGCAGGCAGGATAGAAAGTGAGGAGGGAGTTAATTTAGTAGTTCTGATAGAAGTATTTTTGATAAATATGCAAAGTGGTTGAGCAGAAAGCTGATATCAAACCAGACAGGAAAGCACATGCCTTCCTCCACTATAGCCCATCAAACATAAGCTATGAGGAAAGTATTTGGGAAGATTTTTCAAGCAATTTCTTGAGGATAAATTTATAACAAAACAGCACTATTGATTTGCAAGTATCATGTGTTTATTTTACATGACATTTAAAACAATTTTTACTATGTGGCAGATATTACTAAAAAAGAACAAAACACTACCCATTTTTAAAGGTGAAAGATTCAAACAATCAATATATTATATACTACATCCAAAGAAATGGGAAACGAAAAGAATTCCCAGATAATTAATGTTTCTTGTTCTTAAAAAAATTGTTTACTTAGCTTAGAAAGGAGCCCAAGTCTATCTGCTCTCTCCTCTTTCTCTCCTGTGGAACTAATCAGAGCAAGTGTAACAGAAATTAAGCATAATCTCATTTACCTCTCTGCCTGTAAGGATGTGTCTTGCCAATTTCACTTTTGCAAAATTCCCTTTGCCGATTGTTTTCAACAGTCTGTAGTTTCCGATGTGAGGCTGTTCGTCTGCACAGGAAGCTATAGAGTTTCTACACCGAGCTCCAGAGCGCCCGGTGCGGGAGGTCACTTCTTGCCGACCATCTCCATGTGACGTGTGCTACAATACAATATACACAAAACAAAGATAAGGATATGGGAACACAGTTACCTACCAAGTTGTAAATGCCTCTAGCTAAAGAAACAACACATTAATACTTTAATTTAAAAATATATATATTTTATTGATTTTCCACAGAGAGGAAGGGAGAGGGAGAGCCAGAAACGTCGATGAGAGAGAAACATCAACCAGTTGCCTCTTGCATACCCCCTACTGGGGATGTGCCCGCAACCAGGGTGCATGCCCTTGACCAGAATTGAACCTGGGACCTTTCAGTCCACAGACCAACGCTCTATCCACTGAGCCAAACCAGTTTCAGCTAATTTTAATCCTAATACATATACCACTTTGAAGAAATTTGCCCATGTGTCTATGTTTGTTTGTTTGTTTTAAATATTTTTATTGATTTCAGAGAGGAAAGAAGAGAGAGAGAAAGAAACATCAATGAGAGAGAATCATTGATCGGTTGCCTCCTGCACACTCCCTACTGGGGATTGAGCCTGCAATCCAGGCATGTGTCCTTGACCGAAATTGAACCTGGGACCCTTCAATCTACAGGCCCTTCAATCTGCCGAAGCCAGTTTGGCTCGTAGAGCGTCGGTCTGCGGACTGAAAGGTCCCAGGTTCGATTCCGGTCAAGGGCATGTACATTGGTTGCGGGCAGATCCCCGGCAGGGGGTGTCCAAGAGGCAGCTGGTCGATGTGTCTCTCTCATCGACGTTTCTAGCTCTCTGTCCCTCTCCCTTCCTCTCTGTAAAAAATTAATAATATTCAGCTGCCTCCTGCACACCTCCCGCAACCAAGACACATGCCCTTGACCAGAATCGAACCCGGGATCCTTCAGTCCGCAGGCCTACGGTCTATCCACTGAGCCAAACCAGTTTTGGCTGAATTTAATTCTTAAAGGTAAAGGAGTCCTGATACTTCTCACTCCCATGGAATGGAGCCAATAACCATTTCATCTACCAAGAAAATTAGAACATGTACCCTGCTACTAATGCAGAATCAAGCCAAAGATGGGATTAACAAATTTGTAAAGTATTCATTTCAAACTAAAACTTCTCTTTAATGCAAAACTTTTAAGTTGCTACTATTAGGAAATAAAGCAAACACTGTAGTTACCTACTCAGCATCCATTCCTTCCTTCTTCCTTTCTAAGAGAAGCTGGGTGTATTTGGGGGAGGCAACATGGCCAGTTAAATACTTGTTTTCCCAAACTTCCTGCAGCTAGAGGTAGCATATGGCTTAGTTTGGCCAGTTCTCAATAGTGAGAGGTTTTCATGTAAAATGTCCCTAATACAACCCCACAACACTCAGCTTCCACCCCAAAGCAAAATAGCTTTTTGTTCAAGCTGCAACCATGAATGCTTCCAGATTCCACATAACCCACAGAAACAATGCCTATGTAGTCTCCGTAAGACCACACAAGACTCACCACGGCGGGCGAGCAGCGCGGGGCGAACCTGCAGCCTAACACTCTACTGGAAGGAGAAGTTGGGCTCCCGCAGGAAGCCCTCTTCTTCCAGGGGCCTGCCACACTACACACGCAGGTGCAGACGGGTCAGCACAAACCCCTGGCAGACGAACCCAAGCACATGCTTTAAATTCTTGTGTAAGATAACATTAAAAGTAGGAGAGGCCCCGGAAGAGATGTGTTTTCTCCTTCAGGTTTAACCTGAAAGTTTAAAGTGGAAGTGAGACAGTGCATTTGTTTTCATTCTCCCACTGGTCATCAGAAGAGGCCAAATTCCAGATAAATTTTACTACACCAAGAATTCTCTTTGAAATTAAAAATAACAGGTACTATTTTATATTAAACTGTGTTTAAGTTTCATAATTACAATATAATCATGTGCTACACAAATAATCAAAATGGTGAATATTCTACTCACTACAAATTTCCACCTACACCAAATTTACATACAGAAGAAATGAAGCTGACCCTCATAAGATCTTTCCCAAACACTTTGACCAAATAAAAATACTAATTCTTGGCCCCAGCTGGGTGGCACAGGTGGCTGGAGTATTGTCCCATACACCAAAAAGGTTGCAGGCTGGCCTAACCGGTTAGGCTCAGTGTATAGAACATCAATCAGCCTGTGGACTGAAGGGTTCCGAGTTCGATTCCGGTCAAGGGCAAGTACCTTGGTTGCAGGCACATCCCCAGAGGGGGGTGTGCAGGAGGCAGCTGATTTTGGTCAGTGGTCAGGATGTTGGCCTACAAACTGAAGGGTCTCAGGTTTGACTCCTGTCAAGGGTATGTACCTAATCGATATGTCTCTTTCACATCAATGTTTCTCTCTATCTCTAGTCCTCCCTTCCACTCTCTCTAAAAATTAATAGAAAAAATAATGTTGGGTGAGGATTAACAAAAGAAATGATAACTCAAGGGCCCAAACGTAGAATCAAGGTCTGGGGTGGGGTCCAGCAATCAGTACCTCAACAAGCCCTCTAGGTGATCCTGGTGTTTGCTCCGGTTTGAGTTTAGCTGAGGGTACTTTGATCAACAGGAATTGGAAGTCCGAAAGAGCAATATGATTCCTAGGTATATCCTCTATGGAACAGTGTAATAATACACAGAGTAGGTACTTAAATGTGAACAGGTTAACAGTAATCTCATATAACCAATAGCTGGCTAGACAATAACACCATTAGTTTATCTATTTCTCAGAGATAAGAAATTATGATGATTGTATAAAATAATACTAAGTACATGGTGCACACACACTGGGAGCTGTTAAATAATGGGCAAAGCCCCTGGGCACTTTGGCAAATCACCCAAACTTACTAAGTGTCATACACTTTGAAACTTAAGTGAAAAATACATTTCTAGTTTTATCAGTATACAAACAGGATTTGTCCATGGGTCTACACAAACCAATTGTAGAACGTAAATTAAAATACAATCTTTTTATTGACGTTAAAAAGCATCTTATTTCAGCCTGGCCAGTATGGTTCAATAGTTTAATATCAACTTAGGAACCAAGAGGTCATATGACACTTTGATTCCCAGTCAGGGCACATGCCCAGGTTGTGGGCTCTATCCCCAGTAGGGCACCTGAAGGAGGCAGCCTACTGATGATGTTTCTCTCTATACCTTTCCCTTCTTCTCTTTAAAAAAATTCATTAATTAATTAAAAGAACATCTTATTTCACATCTTAGCCAACTATGGATTCTAATTTGAATAGTGTTTATAAAGTAGACAACTGAGGAAATTTGAACACTGACTAGATATTTGATATTAAGAAATTATGATAAACTGGATTATGATTACTTTTTAAAAATAAGCTTTATATTTTCTAAAAGCTTTAGAGATGAAATGATAAAATGTATTGAATTTGCTTCCTGGGGAGAGAACAAATGAAATTAAGGCTGGCATTGATGCCCTACCTGGTTTGGCTTAGTGGATAGAGTGTTGACCTGCAGACTGAAGGGTCCCAGGTTCAATTCAGGTCAAGGGAACCTGCCCCATCGCAGACTCAATCCCCAGTTGGCAGGAGGCAGCCAACCAATGATTCTCTCTCATTACTGATGTTTCTATATCTCTATCCCTCTCCCTCTCTGAAATCAATAAAAAAAATATATATATATTTTTTAAAGACTGGCCACTGAGTACATGGGGGGCTAACTGCATATCAGGATTTCTCAATCCTGGCACAACTGACATTTTGGACCAGGGAGTTCTTTGCTAGAGAAAAGGGGTACTATCTTGTGTATTGTAAGATGTTTAGCAGCATTCCTGGTCACTAGCAACCCTCTGCAGTGTGACAACTACAAGTGTCTCCAGACACTGTCAAACATCCACTGGAGGGCCAAACTATTCCCAGAAGACAATCTTTGACAAATATTTATTAAACTTGCTCTACTGACTTGTTCGAAATTTTCCATAACAAAACTTTTTCCCCCATTCTCAATAGAGAATATGTTTTTATTAATTTTAGAGAAAGGGAGAGGGAGAGAAAAACATTAATCAGTTGCCTCCCAAACTCAGATTGGGGATCAAACCCACCTGACCTAGAATCAAACCTAGAATACAATTTCTGAGTATGGGACAATGCCCCAACCAACTGAGCAACACCAGCCAGGGCAACAAAACACTTTTAAGTCTTAATTATACTCTGTATTGGAACAACTATATCTTTCTAATTGAATGATCTATCTATTTACCTATCTATCTATCTATCTATCTATCTATCTATCTATCTATCTATACTAGGCTAATATGCAAAGTGTCCCCTCAGGAGTTCGACCGGGAGACTGAAGTTTGATCACACACTACCAGGGGGTGGCACAAAAGGAAGGAAGGCAGGCCCCGATTGGCCCTGATAGCCAGCCAGCCTAGAAACCCTACCTGTGCATGAATTTCGTGCACCATTGCCTCTAATTAGTACATAAGCTTTTGGGAAATAGCCTGATATACAACAAGGCAGAGGGGACTGAGCTGAAAAACTAGGACTCAGTAAAGGTTCTGCTACTAAAGTCAGAGGACATAAGCAGCTGGTCACCTATCTGAGCCTCAGCATCTTCATTACATCAGATTGCCTGACTAGTCCTTTGAGCTACAAAGTGGATATTCACATTTGAAAAAAAATGAAACCTTAGCCTGTTTGGCTCAGTGGACAGAACATCAGCCGGCAGACCAGAGTTCCAGGTTCGATTCCGGTCATGGGGACATACCTTGGTTGCAGGCTCTCCCCAGCTCAGGCCCTTGTCAGGACTTGTACAGGGATAACCAATAGATGTGTTTCTCACACATCGATGTTTCTCTCTGTCTTTCCCTCTCTCTTCCACTCTCCATAAAAGAAAAGAAAAGAAAAGAAAAGAAAAGAAAAGAAAAGAAAAGAAAAGAAAAGAAAAGAAAAGAAAAATCAATGGAAAAATATCCTCGGTGAGGTTTAATAAAAAACAAAAGCTAAAAAGAAAAAGAAAAAGAAAATATAGTAGACAAGAATGAAGATGATGTTTTCATAACAAATTATCTGCCTTTTATTATTCTTTTTTTAAAATATATTTTATTGATTTTCCACAGAGAAGGGAGAGAGATAAAGAGCTAGAAACATCGATGAGAGAGAAATATCGAGTAGCTGCCTCTTACACACCCCCTATCGGGGATGTGCCCGCAACCAACGTACATGTCCCTGACCGGAATTGAACTTGGGACCTATCAGTCTGCATACGGACGCTCTACCACTGAGCCAAACCGGTTTCAGCGCCTTTTATTATTCTTAACCAATAGGCGACATTCTTATCTCAATTTATGTAATTATTTAAAATTTAAATAAATTTGCAACAACTTGGATGTATCTTAAAAGGATTATGCTAAGTGAACTAAGTCAGAAGGAAAAGGACAAGAATCATATAATTTCATGTGGAATATAAAACAAAAAGCAACAAATGAACAAACAAACTCATAGACACAGACAACAGAATGGTGGTTATCAGAGGGGAAGGTGGGTAGGTAGATAATGAGGGTAAAGGAGGTCAACTATATGGAAATGGAAGAAGACTAGACTTCCGGAGGTGAGCACCTAGTGGAGAATACAGATGTCATGCTGTAAAGTTGCATTACTGGAATTTATATAATGTTATTACCCAGTGTTACCCCAATACATTTAATTTGGGCATCTGATTCTGAGTTGAGCATCTGCCCCCTGGTGGTCAGTGCACCTCATAGAGACTGGTTGTTCTGCCATTTGGTCAATTTGCGTATTAGCCTTTTATTATATATGATTGTAGAAAAAGTAAGACTGTAAGGGCAAATAACAATCAACGGTTGCCAGGGGCTAGAGAAAGGCAGAGGGGATTGACTGTAAAGGGCCATAAAGAACACTTTGGGCCAAAACCGGTTTGGCTCAGTGGATAGAGCGTCAGCCTGCGGACTGAAAGGTCCCACGTTCGATTCCGGTCAAGGGCATGTACATTGGTTGCGCACATACCCGGTAACGGGTATGCAAGAGGCAGCTGGTTGTTGTTTCTCTCTCATTGACGTTTCTAGCTATCGCTCTCTCCTTCTCTCTGTAAAAAATAAAAAAAACCCAAAAAACAAAAAACACTTTGGGGCAAAGGAAAAGCTATATCTTGTCTGTGATAGTGGTTACATGGCTATGCATTTGTCAAAATACATTAAACTAGCTTTGCAGAGTGGCAATATTGTAGCCAATGAGGTTTATCCAAGGCGCAATTATTGCTAATTGAAAAAAAATTCATCAAACTATATATAAGAGTGTATGATCTACCTCAATAAACCTAACTTTAGCAAATGAGCTGCTCAACAGACTGAGGGCTCCCATTCATTCGGTACCCTCATTACTCAACTGGCAAGAAGTCTAATATTCAGCAGCAGTTCAGTGACAGAGGGTAAATAATATGGTATATGCCAGGTGTATAACACTGACACAAGGGCACCGCACTGTAAAAGACACCCAAGTACTTCCAGAACATGCCAATTCCCGAGTTAAAAATGGAACAGGGCATGTTAAATTAACACATGACGTGTTAGCTACAATCCTCTGATTGTAACACTGTCAAAAATTCAATTTTAAAAACATTCCATGAGAATAAAGGCACTCTTCATACTCTATTGTTTTTAAAGAATAAAGTTAGCGCTCTAGCCGGTTTGTACGAGTGCACAGAGCATCAGCCTTTGGACTGAAGGGTCCCAGGTTCAATTCCTGTCAAGGGCACATGTCCAAGTTTCGGGCTTGATCCCCAGTAGGGGGTGTGCAGGAGGTAGCCAATCAATGAATCTCTCTCATCATTGATGTTTCTATCACTCTCTCTTCCTCTCTGAAATCAATAAAAATCTATTTTAAAAAATAAATTAAAAAAATAACAAAGTTAGCAATTTGTAATGACCACAAAAAAATTACAGCATAATTCAACAAATTCAGCAGAGAAGGAGCAAAAGACTCATTGGGTGTAAATCCTTCATTATCACAAGTCTGTGATGGTAATGATGATGATACGTATTTGGCTTCAGTTTATTTAGAAAGTTCGGAGCACTTGCTCTGGCCCACTGTAATATTTTGCTTCTCTGAATGCAAGTCAATAATTAACGCTAACTCACTTTTTTGCTTGTTCCACTAAGAGTAGTCAAAGAACAGGCTGATCAAGTCAGAAATCGGTTCAAAGGGTCTACAAGAAAATGAACTCACTGACTCGCTTAGTCTTACCCCTTTCTGTGGCTCTTTATGGAATCTCCTAACCGGTCCCAGGTAAAGAAGGTGCCAATGACCGGCCTGGTTAGAGCGCCTGGACCACCACACGTTCACATCCTGCTGCTCTAGTGCCCGGAGCGGGTCACCTGCCAGCCACCCGGTAAACCGGCGGCACTGACATGAAGGCACCTGCCCTGGTGCCCAGGGTCCCGGCGACGTTACCGGAATCAGGGGCACACGCGCAGGGCAAAAGCTTTTCCCTACGTGATGACAGTGGGACCCGGTGCAGTTTCTTACCCACACAGCTCGGCTGGGGCAGTTCTGAACCCCGAGAGGGGAGTTCGGAAACTGCCCCAAGTGTCATTCCCTAAAAACGCTGCTCGCGGCCTTTTCAAACGGGGTCGTGAACAAAACCGATGCGAGCCCCCCCGCCCCCCCCTTTCGGGAAGCAAGCAGCCTGGCGGCTCACCTGCCTCCCGGCGCTCCCGCCCGGCCCGCGCCGCCCTCGGTGTGAGTGCCCCGCTCACGCCAGTCCCGGGCAGCGGAGAGAACGAGGCACAAAGGACGCTCACTGGGCCCGATGGGCTCCTTTTCCGCGGCACCACGAGCCGGCAGCCCTCAGAGCCGCCCGCCCATTAAAGGGAGTTGGGTGCGCTCGGCCCGGCAGAGATGGGGCGCGCACCGGGCCCCCGCGGCGCGGCGCGGCGCGGCCTGGGACCCCGGCGGGCGGGCGGGCGGGCGGGCGGGCAGGGCTGCGGCCACGGGCGCGCTCCGGCGGCCCGGCCCGGTCCTCCCAGGAAACGGCCGGGCCCGGCCTGCTGCCCAGCCTCCTCGGCGGGCGCTGCGGCCGGAACAGCCGAGCGCCCGGTTACTCACGTTCTCAGCGTCCCGTTCATTCACCGTGGGCAGCGGCGTCCTCGTGGACATCTTCCTTCACTTCGGGGCCGCGCAGCGCGAGGAGGAAACACAGCCGGCCCGGCGGCGGCGGCGGCCCGGAGCGGCTCCCCTCCCCCACGCCGCCTAGATCCCGGGCCGGGTCCCGGCCGCCCCCCGGAGGGTCCCGGCGCTCATGCTCCCGGCCCGGCGGCCGCGCCGACGAGCCCGGCGGGCGGCGGTGGCGGGGCCGGGCCGGCGGAAGCGGACTGCGGGCGCCCCGTGGGCCCGGAGCCCCTCGCCGCCGCCTCCGCCCGTCGCTCCGCGGGTTTCAGAGCCCGGGCCTCCACACCGCGCCGCCGGCGGCCCCCGAGAAGGCGGAGGATGTGCAGGCGACGGAGCGCGAGACAGGCCGCCGCGGCCTGCGGGCGCCGACCATGGACGGGACTGTGGAGGCGGCGCCTGCGCCCAGCTGCTCGCCTCGCTCCGGCTTCGCTTTCCGCCTCAGCCTCCGCCTGCTGGCCGCCGGCGCCGCCGCCGCAGCCTGCGCCTCAGAGCCTCACAGACTCAAGATGGCCGCCCGACGGCTTCCTCTGCTGCCTCCGGGGGCCGGAAGTGACGACACCGCTGCCTCCCGGAGCCCGGCCAATCAGCGCGGCCGAGGGAGCCGGCCGGCTGCTGTTGCTAGGGGAGACCTGGTCCTGCCCCGGGCCCGGGGGGCGGCTCTGGGCCGGGAAGGGCTGGCGGGTCCGACAGGTCCGGGCGGGCGGCAGGTTCCCGGCGCCCGGAGCACGCGGGCGCCCCCCGAAGAGCCGGCGAAGGCCCTGGGCGGCGGCCGGAGTGCCAGCACCGGGTTGGCACGTACAGTGCTGACCGTGGGCCTGCTCGGTAGGAAAGCTGCCCCGGACCGTGCGGCACCGAGCCGAGTCCCGGCTGCAGCGATGAGAAGGCCGGGGCGGCGGGGAGGTGCGGGGCTCCTGCATCATCGACGCGGACCCGGGAGTGGAGGACTCCGGCGCCTTCCTGCCTCTGGCTCCGAGCTCCGAGCTCCGAGCAGCCGGGCTGGGCTCGGCCTCCGAGGGCAGCAGGCGCGTCCTGCTCTGCAGGAGACGGCTGTCTGCAGGAAGGTGGACGGAGGCCCAGCTGATGCCATTGGGAAGGAGGGGTGCCGTGCCGGTGCCATAGGAGGTTAGGGGGCAGGGGAGGTGTTGCGAGCAAAGCCCTAGAAACACGCAGGGGCCAGTTCCTAAATGCCCCGGGGGCTCTGCTACACCAGGGGAGGCTGTTGGAGCACTGCAGGCATCCCCGGGTCCCAGCTGGGCTGACTTCAGGGGACGCTGGAAAGGCTCCCCCCTCCACCGCCTGTGCCCCGGGCCCTGCCCAGAGGCTGGCCAGCGGGGGGCGGAGGCCCTTGGTGCAGGGCTCTGAGGAGGGAGCTGGATCCGTAGGGGTTGGAGCAACATGACCTATTCCTGAGAGTCTGCCCCGTGGGTCCATTACATTTGTTACCTAATTTCCGCCTCAGGGTAGCCCGGTAAGATGGGCAGGCACCCCGGAGACTTGAAGTCTAAACAGGTAACAGGGACTTGACCAAAGTACCCCAGCTGGACTGCAGAACTGGGATTTGAACCCGGATTTTAAAACTTCCTAATGCATAAGCCCTTGTAACGGGTATATCCTGTTTTACTTTTTCTCTTTTGTCCTCCCCATGTGAACCGTCTGGGACGTTTCCTGCTGTGAAACGCCCGTCTTTCAACACCGGACTCATCTCCGGGGAGGTCACGTACCCACCTTCAAGAGCTGAGGACTGAGAATCGAGAGGCTTCCGTCTCCCTCTCTCTGGCCAGTGCTCCCCAGGCCCAGGGTGGCCCGTTTAAAATGTTGTCAGGGACTCTCCCCCTCCCCACGAGGGAGTCTGCTTGTTTCTCAATAAATTTCCATCTTTTCCTATAATAAATAAATAAAATGTTATGTTCTTTCTTCCTCTTCAGCCAAGCAGAAATGGTTGAATTCTCATTAAATGTATGTCATCCAGTTCAACTGATAAGTGGCTTAGCACAAGATTTTGGGAACCCCAGCAAGGGTATTTGACCCAAAAGGGGTTGGGCCAGGGATGCTCCCTGAAAAGAGCTGTTTCTCTGAGTCTGAAAGCCTGAGCAGCCGGCCGGTGAGGAGGGGGAGATGGCCTGGCCAGGGGCACAGAGATGAGAAACAGCCGGCAGTGTGCACCCATGTCAACAGGATGAGAGGTGAGCCTGGAGGGTGAGGCAGGAGCCAGGCCAGATGTGGTCACAGCGTGGCACTCCGTCCTGCGCCGATGACAGCAATGTCAAGGTCAGCTGGGAGACACCGGCAGGACCCAAGCACGGCGTCAGCCCCGGGCAGGGGCGCCAGGAAATGAGGTTTCTCCCTAGACGGGATCTCTTTGGAGTCACACATTCAATACGAGTAATGAGTCAGTGAGTGCCAAAGGTAGGAAATTAAGCTGACAAGTCCTCATTCACGATGCTTCTGGTTTTCATGAAGTCGAGAGTTGAGGAAACACTTTGAGCTTCTCATTACACTTATGTGAAAAGACAGCATCCTATAGAATAGAAGCGTAGTATACAAATTGTCCCCTGGACCAGGAAGTCATTTGGGAGTTCCACTAGTGGCAGCTGGCAGCCGCCAGGGGCCCTACCAGTGCCCACATTTCATGCACTGGACCTCTGGTGGTACTATAAAGGCAAGGTGTGCCTGTTACATGCCAAAAAAAAGAGGCGGAAGAGAAGCAGAAGGAGAAAAAGAAAAAAAAGTGTCCAGCCAGGTATGGCTCAGTGGTTGAGTGTCGACCCATAAACCAGGAAGTCACACTTCCGTTCAGGATCAGGCACATGCCCGAGTTGTGGGCTCAACCTCCAGTAGGGGGCGTTTAGGAGGGTTAGGGGCCCTGCAGCCCTGTGATCTGGGGTCACCTGGAGGCCCCTCCTCAACCCCGGCCACAGATGCCCAGGACGGGCTCCCCTACCCCCCAGCACCCACAGGCCACCCAGTCTCCCTCTGAACCTGCACTTGAGAACCAGAGGCACCCTGGCCCTGAGGGAGGGGCGACTGGAGGCTGGAGGTGACCCGGGGAACAGGATAGAGACCTCTGACTGACTTCTTTCCCCGACCAGGGCCCAGGACAATTCACGGTCCAAGCAGCCTGGGGCATTTTTCCTTTAAAATAACCAACAGCCCTGTGGCTCAGTGGTTGACCTTCGACCTATGAACCAGGGAGTCAGGATTCAATTTCCGGGTGGGGCACATGCCCAGGTTGCAGGCTCAATCCCCAGTGTGAGGCGTGCAAGAGGAAGCTGATTAGTGATTCTCTCTCATCACTGATGTTCCTCTCTCCCTCTCCCTCTCTGAAATCAATATATTAAAAAGAAAATAAAGAACAAAATCTTCAGAGGTCTAGCCTCTCCTCCTGACCTCACAAGGACTGCCCAGGGCTGGGCACGGCGAGGCGGCCTGGAGCCCACCAAGACGTTCGAACAGGATTCTGTCCCCGCAGTGCAACCTCAGCCCTGAGCTGGCCAGGGCTGGCCCTCTGAGTCAGGTCTGAGTCCCCACCACGCCCTCCCGTGGGGCGGCCGGGCTCAAAGCCTCCTTTCACAAAGAGGGCAGGCGCACGGATGACTCGCAGTGTGTAATGTGTCTGAGCTCAGATGAATAATTGACGTGCTTGAATCTTAATAAGCAGGAACTGATTTCCAAGGCCAGGGAAGCCCAAAAGAGATTCTGGTAAAGCAAACTCTTAAATGTGGGCCAAGGCAGGCAAATAAACATTCAAACAACAATAAAACCCCCAAACCTCCCTAAAAACAGACACCTATACACACATATACCTGGGTAATTTATAGGTCAAATAAATTAAGAAGGAAAATGTAGAACTGAATAATAATGAAAATTTCTGTTTTCACATCAGAAGTTGTGGGATACAATGAAAGCAGTATTTAGAAAGGAAATTATACTGTAATATGTTAACTACAAAAAAGGCTAAAAATTAATAAGCTATGTATTAATATTATGTAGTTAGGGGAAAAAATACAATATACCAGAGAAAGCCAAAAGGAAAAGGAAGGCCTGGCTGGTGCACCTCAGTTGGTTGGAGTGTAAACCCGTCCACCAAAATGGTGGCAGGTGCGATCCCTGATCTGGGTGAGTCAGGAGGCAACCAATCAATGTTTCCCTCTCCCATCGCTGTTTCTCTCTCCCCTCCATTTTTCTCTAAAGTAAAATTTTACAAAGGACAAAATAAGAGCAGAAATTAATGAAATAGAGAACAAAGATAAAATGAGATCAACAAAATCAAAAAAGTTATTTGAAAAAAACTAGTTGAAAGGTAAAAGAATAAAGGAGAGAAAGCATGAGGAAGGCATTAGAAAATATAAAGGAAAACATGATTACAGATGTTGCAGATTCACAAAAGATCACAAATATTATCAACAAATTTGTGTCAATATTTTGAAAATATATACAGTTAATTTCTATAAAACTATAACATCATAACTACCCAAGAAGTAGAAAATCAATAGTTCTATAACTATTAACGTTGAAATCGTTTTATAAGCAGTTTTACTAAATTGTCAAAGAACACAATATTTCAGTTTTATGCAAACTCTTTCAGACAAGAAGGGTCCAAAATTCATGACCTTAGCAAGCAACTCGGGAAGCTTGAAAAGGAACAGTAAGCCCTGGCTGGTGTTGCTCAGTGGGTTGGGTATTGTCCCATGCATCGAAAGGTTGTGAGTTCAATTCCCAGTCAGGGCACATGCCCAGGTTGCATGCTTGATTCCTGGCAGGGGGCAGATCATGCAGGAAGCAGCCAATCAATGATTCTCTCTCATCATTGATGTTTCTCTCCCAGTCTCTCTTCCTTTCTGAAATTAATTCTTGTTTGCTTTTCTACAAAAAGAAAAAAATTAGTCCCTTCTCAACACTTGAGAGATCCGGCATTGAAATATCTGAAGCATTGTATCATACATGGGAATGAAGCCTGGCAACAACCAAAGTGTCCTTCGATAGATGAC